TTTGTAGTGGGTAGTAAATCAATTTACTGTATCATATCAGCATTAATTTTTAATAAAAAATAAAATAAAAAAGCAAATATTAAAGTATATCACACTCAATTCAGGCGAGTGAATGAGTGAACAAGGAATTGTACGTGTGTAGTAATGTTTGTATACAGGGTCAAGATGTAAAATGGTAATCTCAATAAAAAAGCTGAATGTCACCATCGTTCTTTCTTCTTTTCAAGAGATGACAGAATGCTATGTACCACAAAGCATTATGCAAATTGAAGCATTATGCAAATATGCATTCATCTTACAGATAGTACTTCCTTTTACAACATTCTCTCTACTCTAGCTTTAATTATTTCTCTTTCAACACCTGTTGAAATTCACTCTTTTTCTGACCTCAAGATAGTTTTTTATTCTCAACTGCAGATTAAGTTGGTAGAATATACTTTACCTTAATTTTAAATGTTCTAGAAATTTTAACAACCAGGGTGACTATATAATTTATCATCCAATCCAGAACACTTGTGACAGTAAAAGAGGCCCTAGTATTCAGGTGAGACAATAAAGATAAACCAGTATATACAGTCACTCTATTAATAATAATACTGTGCTCTTAATATTGCCAGCATAAAAAAGATATTTAGCTTAAAAATTAAGCACAAAAGAGCCAATAGCTAAAATAAAGTCTAAAAGTCATTTAATCTAAACTATATCATAAAATTTCTGATTTTTAATGAAAATTCTATAATGTTCTTAATAGACAGTATAGGAAATTAACTAGAAAAAAATTTGTATGAACGTGTAAAACATTAATCTAAAGAGAACAAAACTTTAGCCTACTATCAGTACAGTCTATACTAATTGGAATAAATTCTTGAATAACAAGTCTACCTTATATTTACAATATGGGATATAAAGTAAATCCTTTGATATTAGTGTCTCTTTAGGCAAAGATCCATGGAAAAAAAGTAAAATAGCTTCATAAATTATCTACAACTGAAGACACATGAAAATTATTATACAATTTATTTGAACCTACCCAATGGAAGATAAACTGGGACAATTCTGAGCAAAATTTTAATCTATGAAATTAATTTTTTCGACAATTCAACTGTCTCAATTATGGCTACCTCTTCTGTGTCTTTAATTCCAAAGCTTTCCTACTTTCTCCATAAGTTTCTTTTACTACTATTAGGGAAGAAGTATTCACAGATTATTTAATAGTTTTGATGTTACTCAGTTCTTGTATCTTAGGCATCTTCTGCTCTTAAAAAAAAAAGAAAAGAATTTCTTAGGGCTCCTGATTCCTAGTTCTGTGTTCTATTAAACACTTCATTTTTATTTTGACATCTCTCCTTTCTTAAGTTTCCACCAGAAAAGGTCCATGAATGACAGCCTTCAGGAGACATGCAAAGACTATGTATAGAACAAGTTTTATCTAACAATGAGGAAGTGCATGTTTCTGGGATGGCGCCCACAGCTTCCATAAAATTCTCAAAGAGGTCAGTGACCAAAAAAAAAAAAAAAAAAAGATTGAGAAATGTCATGTTAGTAGTATTTGAGTCAATAGTAAATAGGTATTTTGGGAAGCAGAGGGGTAGCTTTTTCAGTTTATTCAGGCTAGCTGGACAAGTATAAGTCTGAATAGTTTTGCTCCCTTTCTGCCAAAGGCTACCAGTTTCCACAGAAGAGGTTATGAGCTGGTGGTTTCTAAGAAGACTTGAAAGTTGATTCTATCACCAGTTACCAAACAGGCCTTTTAGCATTTAGTCTGAGGCATCTAAGCTGCTTCTTCTAAGAGTGGATTACACAACTTGAAATTCACATGAATGAAGACTGCTTGAACTAGAAACACACATATCAGACATCCTTACGGAGACTTTATTCCTACCTATTTCCCCTTTATGTTGTCCCAGTATGTGAAATATTCATATTAAGGTAAGGTTTTTTAAAAATGAATTTGTATTTTATTCATCAAAAAGAGCATCTATATATTCTCAGAAAGTGATGCTTAGTTATTCACATGAATTGATGAATCCGTTGTAGGACAGAAGAGCCTTCTAGGTTAATAGGACTGCTTTATACCAATGATACTGATATGGGGGAAGAGAACAGGTATGTGGAGTTTATAAAAATAATATAGAATTCTCCACTTGGAAGACAGAAAACAGTAAAAAAGCTGAATAAAAACTTAGTTGGCATGAGTAAGCAGCAAAAACATCTCCTATATAGCTCTGCTGGTCAAGATTTTAAAAATAAGGTGAAAATGTTTCAGAATTTCCAAGGAAAGGAAGCATAAGTTTTTTAAGTTTCTCAATAGTGTGTACTGGGTGTAGAAAATACCACCCTAGACTTTCTTCAGCTTTTCATTTCTTTTCTCTTTGCTAAGGACTGCCAAGCACATACTTTATATTTCCTAGTACTTTTGACATTTTGCTTAGTACTAAATTAATGATATTTTAAAAACATTATTCTCTTTTTTTCTTAATGGCCTGCATATATCACCATTTATTCCACATTACTTTCCTCTATGAAAATGAGGTTTTGTTTTGTTTTTTTGAGACAGTCTCACTCTGTTGCCCAGGCTAGAGGTGCCATGGCATCAGCCTAGCTCACAGCAACCTCAAACTGCTGGGCTCAGGCAATCCTTCTGCCTCAGCCTCCAGAGTAGCTGAGACTACAGGCATGCAGCACCATGCCCGGCTAATTTTTTCTAGTCCCGAGTAGCTGGGACTACAGGCATGCACCACTACGCCTGGCTAATTTTTTCTATATCTTTTTAGTTGTCCGACTAATTTCTTTCTATTTTTAGTAGAGATGGGGTCTTGCTCTTGCTCAGGTTGGTCTCAAACTCCTGAGTTCAAGTGATCCTCCCACCTCAGCCTCCCAGAGTGCCAGGATTACAGGCGTGAGCCACGATGCCCAGCTGAAAATGAGGTTTTTAAAGATAATGTTCATTAGAATACACCCTTGGTTAATGGAGGCTTACTACCAATTAATCCTGTTTTGTAGGGCTTTCAGGTGAGGTAAAAGAATTATTTTAAATGGACTAACAAAATCTGGGCTAGATAGATCATGTCTCATTGGATATTTGCATAATCTGCTTCAACAGTCAGAATGGAACATTTTCTGAAGTTGTTCCTGGTCTAAGGTAGACTTAACCATTTCTAGGGGTCTTGCTCTTTCTAATTAGACTCTTATTTACTCAGTCTTCACCAGAATACTTCCCATCTTAAACCCAACTTTATTTTAAAATTTTCAATTGCTTTCATTCTAAAACAAGAAATCCAAGAAAAAGGCCTCCTGTATATGGTTTAGAACAGTGGTAGAGAGTAGTGATTAAAAACAAAGATCTTAAAAAAATAAAAAACCAAACGCCAAAGATCTAAGGTAAGACAGTCTTGATTTAAATTTTAATGTTGCTATTTATTAACTGTGTAAGTTTAGGCAAATTAAGTTCTCTAAGCCCTAGGTTCCTGTAAAATGGACAGAATTATAGTACCTACAGTTCACATGGCTGTTACAAAGATTAAATGTTATGCATGTAAATTGCATAGCACAATGCCCAACACAGTAGGCGTTCAATAAAGGTTAGTGAGTATGGTAATAAGTAATGATGACTTCCCACTTCCACAGTCTCTTATTTTCATTGCCCTCCATCACTTTTCATGCCTGATGAAAGCAGGGTATACAAAAATTATAACCTCACAGTAGGAGGCCTAATCCAGTAAAGTAAGACTCCCTCTATTCCCCTCCTTTTAATATAAATGGTTAACGGTCATTCCTAGTCATTTGTATATCAAGTCAAGGAATAAAGTAAAGAAGCAGAAGAAAGAAAGACACCAGTACAAATACAAGTAGTTTCTCTGGCAGCAAGAACATATTGGATGTCAGTCATAGGCCATGAAGAAGAACAAAAAAGCCAGGAAAACAACAACTAGAAGAAAGCAGAAGGCAGTAACCTAAAAGAGCAAGGGAAATAAAAGGATTGAAAAGAGAATTGTAGGCAAAGGGATTTATATAGACCTATTTAGGAAAGAGAGTATAGTTTAAGATGTGAGAAAAATGGGATTTGCTGAAGCAGGGTAGCTTAAGACTATAAACGAAAAGAGCAAAGCATTTTGCAGGGTATAAGAAGCATACTACTATGAGTAAGCTAATAAAATTTTCACAGATGAGCAGTATGAAGAGGTATCTGCAAGGTTGGGCTAACCAACCAAAAATAACACAGAAATGTGCACGTTAAAACTTATGTGCATAGCTAAATTTATTAATCCTAAATATGGATTAGGGTCATTAAAGGAAAAATCTATTCAGATGTCAATACAAGCCATTATTAAGGCTTGCCCCTTCAAAGATTTGATCTATAGACTAATGAAAACTCCTCAGTTTGCTTAATTTTCTAATCAAGTCTGCATTTTTGAAGTTTGACTATACTTTCCTTTTCTAATAAAGCAGTTCCCTAAACTGTAACTACAATCTTTTTTAATACCATGTTGCCCAGGCTGGAGAGCAGTGGCTATTCACAGGTGTAATCATAGTAGTGCACTGCAGCCTCAAACTCCTGAGCTCAAGTGATCCTCCTGCCTCAGCCTCCCAAGTAGCTGGGACTATAAACATGTGCAATTGCGCTGGGCTAGAACTGTCATCTTTTTTTTTTTTTTATTTTTTTTGTTACCAAAGAGAGGTGTCTTACTGGAATCTACTAACAAAAATAAATTTAAAAATTAAAAATAGTATAATTTAAAAATTAATGGGATTGATGTAGACTAAAAAGTTCCACACCTCTATTGGGTTATTTTTTCCCCTAAATCTAATCAATAAGAGTCAAATGAAAACTTGCTTAAAATTATATCTAACAGTTTACAAGTTGCTGAAATTTAATGTGTATTCAGACTCAACTGCAGCTTACCAAAGAAAGCTATGATATCATCTGAATTAGCACCAGTATGGTGAGAAAAAAGTGTATCGTATCAAATAGACTTGCTGTGTTATCTGTTCAAACATACCTGTACCAGTCAAAAGTCCAGCACTCTTCTTTCGTGCATAAGCGCGTAAGTGGTTGGACAGGCTAACAGCACTTGTAAACGTCGTATTGCAATGCACACATGTTCTAAGCTTCACAGGCATACCTATCATTCAAAAGAAAACTATAATCCAGTTCTCACTTCAAAAAGTGAAATTTTCTTAAAGGGTGTAGAAAAGTACCACAATAAAGATGGTTTAAAAAAACGTTCATTGAATTAGCATAACCTAAAATAAAGAGGGGGAATTAAGTTAACTGTTATTAGTTTGTAGTTAGTATTTAGGCCAACCCATGCTCTTTGGAAAGGTGGAAGGGGAGTGACTTAAACCTTTGAGCTCCTCTGGATTTAACATCTATTATCGCTTTCTTGGCTTTCTTGCAGATTTCTGTGTTACGCAGATCATTTCTTAAACCTACTAAAATATAATCCTGTGATTTGAACAGCACAGTTTTGTTGAGAAGTTTCAAAGCTTACAACATTACCAATAAAAAGAATTAAAAAGTCTAGTTAACAAAGTGGTAATTAAAGTGTTTTACCCACAAAACCGTAAAAGTCTCAATACTAAATTAGCTTTCTGATGAAGGCTGGGAGAAAAGGTGGTAAAACACACCACTGAACAGCTGTTAGACACAACATTTTATTCAGGGCATTTTATGTTCATTACTCTGAATGCGCAATCAATAATGAAAGTTAATGATTTGAAGTTTTTTGCTAAAATCTTTGTGCTAAATAAATGATCAACAAGCTAACATCTTAGTCATCACAGGAAAGAAAACATGTTGAAACAATAAGAAACTCTTAACTTCTTGGAGTTCAACCCTCACTCCCCCGACACGTTACAACTAGTTTCTTAAACATTAGTGTGATAGCCACAAATACGCTTTCCATCTCTGAAGTACACCACACCTTGGTCAACATGGCTAACACATCTTCCCTGCATTTTATTCTTCTGAAAAAATAATGAACACTACTGACTTTGGAAAACTCTTTGTATGAAAGAAAAAGCCCTATTAACCAGAAGCCCATATAAGATAAATTGTTTTTCAGACCACCTACAATACAAGGTAATCTTTCCTTATATCAAAACTGCATTACAAGTATTTGGGATATCCCAATGTCTACCAAAAGTAAGAAAGCAACATTACCTTACAATAATTTTATTCATTATTAATCCATCAGCCAACTATTATTACCTCAGACACATACGACTTAGGGCTCTACTTATGAGACCACCTAAGTAAAACTTCAACATTCTTAACCACCAAAAGAAATCAATAAAGACATTTATTCTTCAAATCTAAAAGTATAAACCAAACTTAGCAAGACAGCAATACCAATAAAATTTGGCTATCATTTACCAATACATACAAAATATTCCTTTGAAAAGAAAAGGCTACTGGTGCACAAGCACTAAACTAAGCAATCTGTTCCATTAGAACAAGCACTATCTTAAAATCTAAAACGCCAAACAAATATGTTTCATGCTCACAACTGTTCTCCAAATCCAAACTATCCCGCAATACACTGAGAAATTGGAGAGGAATAGGTTTCTTTCGGTTAATCACAACATACAACAGACACCAATCCATTCAGTATAAACAGTCTGTTTTGTTTTTCCTAAGCAGCAGAAAAACCGATAGCTAAATCATGAAAACATTATCACTTTGGAACACTGGCAAAAATATGAAAGAGGTATGTATGCCTTTTCAGCTTTTGAACGTCAACTTCCCATCCATGACCATCCTCCAGTCATAGCAAATTTTATTTTTACAGATCAGCTTTTTGTTTGTTTTCATGAGGTTATCTTTTGCTTTTGTTCTCACCTTATATTCAGACCAAGAAATGAGACACAGAGAACTCAGTAATGATGAGCATCAACTGATGAATTATAGAGAAATGACAGTAGAATAACCAATCTGGTCTGTAAAAAAAAGCAACTTAACTAAGAAGATTCTGAGAAAGTATTTTCCACAAATATTCCATTAAAGGAGGCATAAATGAACTTTTTAAATTATATATAAGACAGTCATAAATGTCCTCTTACCTGAGTGCATAGTGAAGTCCATTTTTTGTGGATGATACATCAATGGACTGTCTTCATTTAATGGAAGAACGCATTTCTGAACAAATCTCTTTCTTGCTGTCTGATTATGGATCTTTTGAGGAGAAATAGCAGAATTCCTTTCTTCTCCCATCCTTTTATTTTTAAGAAGTTCTATCAGTGTAAGAGACTGATTCTTTTTTCCACTAGGCAGTTCTGGTTTTGTCTCATCATATTCATTTAAGAAATTCAGCCCTTCTTCCTCTGATGCAGACACTGACAGAGATTCAGTCTTTAGGCCATTACGGTATGCTTCAAGAGGTATAACATTTTGAGATAGAAAGTCATCATTTGATGCAAGTTTCTGAGCTACAAATGGTCTGGGAATAATACGACGACTGTTCAATGCCTTTAAGATTTTTTCATATTTTTCTTCATTTTGCATCATCTCATTTAGAACACAGATAGGAGATTTGTGAGCATCCCATTTGGTCTTTCCAAGTCTTTTCAGGTGGCCTCTAACATGATTTGATAATCCAATTTTAGTATCAAACCAACCACCACAGAGCTGACAAGTGTGTTCAGAAGTGGTTTCAGACTTCTCTATAGCTAAAAAAAATTTTTTAAGAGTAAATATCAGAATTTTTAAAATAAATTGACTACCCTAAAATGAATTAATTCTGAAATATGAAATTATGTAATTCTAAAAAAGACCAAACTTTGAAATCCTCTGAATTTGAACAAAGACCTATTAGCTCAAATTATCCACATGAGAACTTACCTTTTCTAACTCGCTTAACAGGGGTCCCTGTGCCAGTTCTTTTGAAATGTTGCATTTTGTCACTTGTGGCTATTTGTTCTGGTGATACAACATGACGAGCTTCATAACTTAATCCTGCTCTGTGAAGATGTCCCCGGACGTGATTTGATAACCCAACACCTGTTTCAAATGTTGCCGGGCAGTAAGGACACGATTTCTTCTCAAGAGACAAATCAGTCCAATGAAAAACAGAACTATGCTTTGACAATGAAGTTTCTGCATTTTCTAAATGCTGAGGATCATGTATGTCATGCAAAAAGTTGTTAGTGCCAGCATCTTCATAATACTCAAAATAAAAGCCATCATTTTGATCATAACTAAGTGTAGCATTTTCTCCAGAATCTTGACCTTCCACCTTGCTTTTAAACAGAGGGAATAAGTTTACATGTTCTTGATTAATATCATTATAGGATTCATCTTCTATGGCCTGTGTAGTGTAGTCTCCTAGCTCAACATTATCCCATGAACTTTCATCTTCTGTTTCATAACTATCTTTTTTTTCAGAATTAAGTTTTTGCAAAACAACAACTGTCATTTTATGCAAAAAATCTGGATAGCTATCCAAGTCTTCTCCTCCAACAGAACTTTCCTTCTTAGATTCTCTAACTACTCTCTTTACAGCTACACGCCTGTGGTCTTTGAAACTTTCTGGACTTTTGTTGTCAGGCTTATGAGGGTCTGAAATAAAACTGTTGTGAGAATTACTTGATGATGAAAAGAGATGTAAAGAATTTAATGAACTAGCTTCTTCTTTTTTGAAATGAAGAGGATATGATTCACCTGATTTTTTGATCATCCTGTAGTTTTCATATTTGTGTCTATATAAATAGTTGTTATTTGCCTTGGCATTAGATCTTTCTTTTGCTGTTTGATGGAAATACTTAGGTTTTTGGTCAATGCTGCTTTTAATAACAGCTTTGTGAGCAGAGTTGTTTTGATTGCACATGTTTACACCTGACTGGGTGATGCTTTTCCGAGCTTTTTGTATTCTGTGTGGCCGCTTATGAAATTTTGAAAAATTACCTGATTGTGAAGTTGATCCAAATGTTCGCTTCACATCTTGTTTTAAAGCAGAGTTCTTTGGAAATGTGGTTGACTGCTGTTTATTTAATGGTTTAGTGCTATCAATATCTATAGGTTCTTCAAGAATGTCACTTTTTCTCTTATCAAGTCCAAGAGGACTACCAAATGAATCAACACATGATGATGAATGCAAGTACTCCATGTGCTTTTTTAAAATACTTCTGGCTGAAGTAGTAAAAGGACACATCTTACATACGTAGGTAGCTGATTTTTTTGATGATCCCACAATAGAGTCTTTTATGAAGGTCTTTTTTTGTGTTTTTCTCTGGGCTATATCAGAACTAACCACAGGGCATTTTACCACTGCCCCATGGGCAATGCCTCGATGGCATTCTAATTCATTTTCTGTCACTGCCATAAAGTTACATTCTTCACAGCAGTAGTACCTTTTATCTTTTTCATGGGTTTTAGCATGTTGCACAAATGTTTTAGGGCAATTGGTACCAAACACACACTGAGGACACTGTAATCGTGCACTTCTTCCTTCATCCTGAAGTTCTTTCAATTCACGAATTTCCTCCATCAATTTCTGTCGTCTTTCTTGGTGAATAATCATATGTTTTAGAAGTGAATTTCGATCTCGAAATGTCCGTCCACATTCTCTACAAGCATATGGCCTTGGGACATTAAGATGGCGAAAGTGACTGTTCCCATCTAAATGATACATCATATGCCTGTGGAGATGCTTTTTCTCCCTAAAATTCACATTGCACTTTGTACAGGGGTAGAATGATGGCTCTTCATTACTGAAAGTAGCAGGTGACTCAGAATCACTCTCTTCACATTTCTTTTTTAAGGAATTTGAAAGAAAAGTGCTAGTATGAACAGGTGAACTATCTTCTCCACATTTATCTGGGTTATAAATCAGATGTTGAAAAGTATCCACAGATTCCAAGTCTTCATCAGTTGACTCAGGCTTGACTTTTGATAATGCATATTTCTGTGAGTCTATTGCTTGTAGTTCTTCGTTCTGTTCCAGAAAATCTACTTCTTGCATCTTTGATTTATTGGGTACACAATTAGAATCACTAAAGCAATCCTCAGTATAACGAGTTATCTTGCTTACATCCATTTTTCGCTTTCTCTTTTTTTCTAGACCTACTTTAGAGTGAACTGGAGCTTTATCCACTGTTTCCTCATTAGTCATAAGAAAATGAATGAACTCTTTTTGAGGATCCCAGTTTGTATCATTTTCTGACCTATATTTATCTGTACCTGAGGAAATTCCTGTTAATGTATTGACACAATCATCTTTTACTAATACATCTTCACTATCCTCACCCACCTCTACTTGATTTATTAAAGTGCTATCTGACTTTACATTACTCCCTACTGAATTCTGAATGTCACAACCAACTGAAGCAGAGGTAGGTAGTTTTTTAATGGAATGGGTTGGATTCTTAGCATGTGCTGCATCTGACAACAAAAATAAAACTTGGTGTTGACTTGCTTTCTGTGGTGTAGACAGCTGCAGATCAGATGCTACCTTCAAAGCTGAACAAGATTCTGTTGTTGGCTGATCCACAGGCTGTCCAGTGGTTAATGAAACACTGCCTTTATTCATACTGGAAGTCTTAGTTAGGGAGGAGTGTGAAACTGGTCCATTAACAGCAGCTCCTTTAGGCAAAATAAAGTTTTCACTAGGAACAGTAGGAGCACCGGCATGTATAAATAGAGTAGACTGGCCTCCACTTAAGGCTTTTTCAGATTTGTCCTTTGACAGTTCTTCAGGCAGAGTCAATGTATTGTTTTTCTGAAATGATGTTTGACAATCTTTTGGTTTATGAACTCCACTCTCTTTCTCTGAGATAAAACTGTTGTCATCTAGGAGTTCTTCTTTAGCACCAGTAATATCGGTGTTTATCTTCAAATCATCCATATTGTTGGCAAGCCCACTTAACACATTTAGTCTAGAAAATGGAAAAAAAAAATTTAGATTTGCATGAAAGAAAAAAACACTATTAGAATGTATGGAGAGTTGAAAATACACATTTTCTTAGCTTAATTTTCTACTGTTTCTATTGAGATCCTAGTAATTTCCAAGAATGAAGAAATACTTAAAAAAATTAAAACACTTTAAAAGCATCTCAAGATTAATATTGTTCCTCATGCAAGGTAACAACAATCCAATTCATCATATATATAAAATGTCTAGGAGAAAAGCAACATGTACACACACATACACATAAACAATACAAATATGCTAGACTGAAAAAACTTTCTACTTCGCATATAGACTGTGAATATAAAGAAAATTATTTCACTTAAGTAGGTTTATTAGAGGCAGTCACTCTATGCTAGAGAATAATTAAAATTATCAAATGTAGCAGAGAAGTGAAATGTTTTGTCACTTAAAGGTTCATGTCTGGAGGAACAAAACATCACTCATTAAAGAACTTTATTTGAATGAGCATATTTACTCATTAAACACCAATGGCTAATGTATGAAATAGTATTTTTTTAAATCTAAGACTGCTTTACTATCAAGATATTTAATGTTCTCCTAACATTCCAGAAATTGTAAAAATGCTTTATTCATAGGTTTTCATTCATTCCTTATTCAAATTAACCTTAATTCTAACTTTAGAAAATTTAAAATTAATGAAGTTTCGTGTTAAATTTTCATATGCTAGTCCCCCAAATTCTAGTCATTCTCTAAAAGCAGTTATTCCATTTATGATCTTATAGTCTAGCACAATGCCAAAAATACTTTTACAATGAAACAGCACAAATATGTTTTTAATTCATTTCATATAAAAATTGTCTAGACATTTTTGATAATATATTTAATCATTTTGTGCAAACAACACAATATTTTAAAAGGAAAGGATACTTGTGAATGTTTGGGAGACATTTATATCATGGTTGTATAACTACCCCTACTGTGAGGAGTTCCTTTGCACCCATTCTTGTCCTGCTTTTAGAAATGGCCACCTTGTTCTGAAATTGCCTGTTTTGTTGAAGAATGTTAAGTTCTTTGAGGACAGAACTGTAACTTAGTCACTGTCATATCTCTAGAACATAGCACAGCACTTGGCATAGGGGCTCAGGCAATATTTGTTGAATAAAGGACTGAGTAAGTATTCAATGAATAAAAACACAACTGTAAAATCAAAGTAAAAGTTCCTAACGTATAAGAAGAAAAAATTTACTTATTATAAAAAAAATCCATTAAAATTCAAATAATTTGATAGGAAATTAAAATATAAAATTTGAATATCCCATTCAAATACAAGTTTCATCAGCTTATGATTTCTTGAGTTAGCATTTACAAGTAGTAAGGCCCTCAAAATATCAAATAATCTTCATGTACAATGTTTTTTTTTTTTTTTTTGAGACAGAGTCTCACTTTGTTGCCCAGGCTAGAGTGAGTGTCATGGCATCAGCCTAGCTCACAGCAAACTCAATCTCTTGGGCTCAAGCAATCCTACTGCCTCAGCCTCCCAAGTAGCTGGGACTACAGGCATGCGCCACCATGCCCGGCTAATTTTTTCTACATATATTAGTTGGCCAATTAATTTCTTTCTATTTATAGTAGAGACGGGGGCCTCGCTCTTGCTCAGGCTGGTTTCGAACTCTTGACCTCAAGCAATCCGCCTGCCTCGGCCTCCCAGAGTGCTAGGATTATAGGCATAAGCCACCGCGCCCGGCCTCTTCATGTACAATTTAAAGAACCTGCTCTTTGGCAATCCCAGGTATGAACTATTTGAAGTACTAGCATAAACTTACATATTTCTTTTCCTTTTATACACAATAAGTGCAGTTTATTCATTCTCCAAATATTTACTGAGAAACTAGTATGTGCCAGGCACTGCTCTAGTATTAGGAATACAATAGTAATAAACAAGACAGACCAGTTTCTACACTCAGATAAAGAATAAAAACACCGCACTTTTCTTTTATAGTATCTTTAATTTCTATAAAGAGTAATATTATTTTACTACTATTTTAGGACAACAGGACCCTATAATCCAATATTTAGAAATTAAAACATTTTTAATAAAGTTTAATATTTTTACTATCCAATATGGTATCAAATTTCATGCTTTATAAAACATTAAATCTAGTTTAAGAATAAAAGAATTATTTCTAATAACTTTTCTTTTTACATAACTTAGAACAGGCACTTATAAATCTAATCTTATTCTTTCTACAAAATGTGTTAGTATAACAAACATTACAAGTAAGTATTTAAAATAACTTTTTTGGGCATTGTTATTTATACCAACAATCATTTTTCCACCCCTCATATATTTTAGAATTCTGTTTTGAGATTGGCAAACTTGCTCAGTAATAAAAATAGACTTCCAATAAGATCATATTCAATGATATCACTCCAAAATGGTGCTAATGCATCACCCAGCAGGAGTCTCTACATCACATACACAGAAGTTAAAAATGGGCAGCACATAAACATGTGTTAGGAAAGAGTGTGCAAATGTCAATGAAAAGCAAGCCTTAAAGCTATATTATTATCTACTCCTAATAATTCTCATTAAACAAGGTAGACAAAGTAAAATACCTCAATAGCAACAATCTCATAAATCTGAAATGAATGACAGAATTTTTTACAAAAAACTAGCTTGAGAGACAGTTACTTTCTGTTCCCACTTATTATAATCACAGAGGTAGACAAATATATGCTCAGTCAATTTGAAAGCCTATATTAGCTTTTCTCAACAGGAAGCAACGTTGCTAACGAAGTGGTAAATTCAGTGTTAATGAGTGGCTTCACTGTTACCACCTCAGAGGTAAAACCTTCCATGTTCTATGTTCTACCCATCTGTTCTGGTGTTAGAGGTTCAGAGATGGAACAGACGCTTCCCATTTAAAGCAACTTCATTGGTACCCCCTGAACAGCAGGGTGACAAACTATGAGACTATCATGTCGGCTTAGAGACTGGATCCTCATTACCCTTTATAAGAGCTTTTTGTAAGTTCACATTCTGAAGAAATCAAACTGTTTTATTCAAAAACAGAAAAAATAAATATGCATAACAGATATTTTATCTACAAAACACATCTAGCAAAAAAAACAAATGAAATATTGTTAAAATATAAAATGAGGTCTCCAACAAAGTTTTCCTTTGCATATACATAAAATACAGCTTTTACTTGCCCCCAAATAAGTAATTATGTCCACTCAAAAATAAAAGAAGTTATTCTTTTACAGAGAAGTAGACAGACTTTCTTAGCACATGAATATTAAAAATCTGTATCAGTTAAAAAAATGTGCTATAAGAAACTGACTCAGTAAACAAGCTTCCTAGGTCATTCAGTAATTCAGATTAGATATAATCTTCCTATCATCTATCATCAAAGCTATGCTGTCCACTTTCTGTTCATGAGTAATTCTTTTTTAATAGCAAATTAGCTTAATTTCCTTCTTTTATGTCTATTATTAATTGTATTTATTGCAAGTAGGTTAACATTTATGGATATTTATTTTAGGAACAATTAAAATTTTCCTGGTTTAATTTTCAGAATATATTCTAATCAAAAAATGTTCCAAATACACTTTTTCTTAGTAACAGTATTCAATCAAGACTCATAGCTGTTGCATGGAGATGCAATGCAAAACAATGGATCATCAGTATCTGTTGCACTGAATGATGGACCTAGAATTTAAAAAACATCAAAAATTATTTCCCTACATTCATGTTGGGTTATGTGGCATCCAGACAAGAAAGCATTTGATCTAGAAGCTAATTTTACACTGTCTCAAATACTTTTTCAACTACCTTTATATTGTCAAATATATTAACAAAGTCATCAATACAAGTTTATGGTACTACAACAAAGCAGGGACATAGGGACATATTTGAAGATAGGCATTATTCATTAAGTTTTAAAAACGCAAGCTAATAAATTAAAATAAATAAAGTGATGTTATGTTGTTTGGGCTCCCTAAATTTTAATTTAATGAATTCAATGAATTTGCTATATCAATTAAGATCTTTTAAAACAATGTTTAGACACCATTACTAAGTCCTCCCCCATATAATAATACAACCATAGAATTTTTCTTTTAATTGAATTTTAAAATGTTCTTGAAAAAATTCACACACTTTTTTAAAAAGCTGCAAATGGAATTTTAAATCTACATAAAACATATTTCAGTTTCTAGAAAATCATAATGAGTTCCACAGCTATAACTGCCTCTAGTTATACACTGCGAGCATTAAAAAAAAGTACAAAGGTCAGATCTGTCTTCAAGATGACAGATCATCACTTATATGCCTCAAGCTAGACTTATTGTCTCAGAAATCTCAAACATCAGTATTTTTGCAAACTATCAGCACTTGCTATAACACCCTCACTACACTACATCTTGAGGTTACTACAGAAGAAATGAGGTGATAATTGCATATTAACATAATTATTCTGTAATCCCTCTGAGCAAGCTTCCTAGGTCACTCAGTAATTCAGATTAGATACAACCTTCCTGTCATCAAATCTATGCTGTCCACTTTCTGTTCATGAATAATTCTTTTTTGATAGAAAATTAGCTTAATTTCATTCTTTTATGTACATTATTAATTGTATTTATTGCAAGTAGGTTAACATTTTGTGGCTACTTATTACATAATGCCAACCTTTGTCATGTAGTATAATTTCACACAAAAATATAGTATGATTTGCCCTCATTCTACATTAGTTCATTAATAACTGTATTACACAGCTATAAATAAGTTATGATGTTGCCACTATCTGAGTTATAGTTAGGATCTGTCAGGTTTTTGCAAACCCTATGTTCATTTAAATTATCCTTGCACACACATGACAACTTCTGTTAGTAATGTATGAGACTGGGTCAAGAAGAGAAAACTATTCATGACTGCCATTCCAATTACAAAACAAATCTTAATTAACTGAAATATGACAACTAAAATTACTGCAGTATTTAAGC